TTTTTTTTTTCTGAGGCAAGGCAATGGGGTTTCAAAGCATTTGACTGACAGGACAACCACGGGGTCTCATGAGGAGGGAGAACAGAGTGGCAGTATTCAAGACAGAATGAAAGTGGGGGTGGGAAGTCCACGGCAGGAGTGGGGACTGAGAACTTGCTACACTTCCCCAGCCAGCCCTCCTTCCACACAGGACCTGGCAGATTCTCAGGATCAATGTATGGGAGCCCAAACCCTCCTTCACTGGGTCCTTTCTCAGGCTCCCCTCATGCTCTGTCTGGACTACCTCATCTAGTCCCTGGTTATACTGGGCACTGGCCTCTGTCTCCTGAATCCTCCACAGAGCACCACACACACAGGACCTCCACAAGCATAATTAACATGATAAAGAAAAAGAAAATCCACGCACTGCAGAGCAATGGGCCGCCCTTGGGAGCATCATCTCCCATGCCGGAGGCTGCCACGCTTGTCTGGTGAGGATACTCACCCCAGGAATGTCCAAAAGCTTTGACACCAGAAGAGGCAACTTGAGGGCTGCAACACTTCCCGTGACACCCACAAGAACATGGAATTTTCTCTCCACCAAGCATGCAGCAGCTGGACAGGTGGCCTTTGGCTCCATGTGGGGTCTGGTGGCTTCAAGTTCTGGGAGCCTGCCAGGACTGGGCTCCATACAGCTGCCGGGATTTAGGATCTAAAAGCAGAACAAGGGCCACCCCCTTCATTCACACAGTCTACCAAAATGTATTGAGCGCCATATCATATGTTAGGCCCCAGGCCCGGTGCCCAGGCAGCGGAAGGGATCGGCAGTCCCAGCTTCTGAGAGGACACAGTTTGATAAGGAAGTGAGGGGCCTTCCCCACACACGGGCCAGTCACAAGGGGATGTGGCAGTGCCATGGGAAGGGCTGTGCCAGGTGCCATGGCTGCTCAGAGTGGCTGTTTCTGGAAGTCAGAGCCTGCATCCCAGAAAAGAGGATGTTTGGGTCGAGTCCTGAGGGACGAGTTTTCCAGAGATGGGAATAAATCAAAAGAAGACACAATCTTGCAAAGGTGAAGGTCCTGAAGGAGGGTGGCAGGTTGGGGAGCAGGGAGTGGCTTCGTAGTGAGACTGGAGTGTGATGTGGGGTGGTGGAGGGGCAGGAGGGGAGGCTGGAAATCAGGGTGAGGCCAGAATGCGGTGGGCAGCAAGGGCCAGGGTGAGAAGTTTTGGTTTTAGAAAGATGGTGCTGGCACTTGGTGACAGTGTCAAAGGGACCCTGCTGGTGGAGGGACAGGAGGGCAAGAGGAGCTGCTGTGGTAAAAGGAGGTGCCAGGAGGGGATGGGTTCCACAGATGCTTGTCAGGTGGAAGCCTGGGCAACAAGAGGTTTCGGTGCTCCAGGGAGCCGAGAGATTTGCCTCTCTGTCCCTGTCCGTTAATCAAGATGGGTGCCACCGTACAATCAAAGCCCAGGAAGAAACGAGCATAAAGGGGATGCAGCCACCCAGGAGACCAGCAGGTTTATTTCTTCCTCTGGCTCTCAGACGTTGCTAGAAGTGGGTGCTCATGATAACACGGCTGATGGACACCAAAACCTACACGCGGCAGGTTGGGCCACCAGAAAGTGCTTCATCAGCAACCATCACTGGGAACGATTACACTGAACACCACGCAAAGGAATTGTGAAAAACACAGTAGCTGCCTCTGGGGGATCTGTAGGTGAGTCTGAGACGACAGGAATCACACCTGAAATTATTTAAGATCAGTCCTTCCCTGGGATGCGCCTTTTTGGTGATCAGACTCAATTTACACGTTTTCTGGCCTCTCCCTCCAACAGCAAGCTCCCTGAATTCGTGACCAGGTCTAACTGCCAACCACCAGTCCACTAGCAGTCCTGAACATCTGCTGAATTAATAATCATACCCCCCTCCCTGCAAATACTCTGCTGCTGTAGCAGGAATGCAGACACACACACACACAAAATAATAATAAAAAATAATTATACCCTCCAAGGCAGTGTGGGGCAGAGGACAGATACCCAGCCTGTGAATCATAAGTCCTGGGCCCCGACCATGGTGTGCTCCTGACCTGAAGTGACGTTGGTCCAGCGTCATTCCCTCCCTGGACCTGTCCCTTCAGCTGAAAAATGCAGAGGCAAGACCAGATGATCTCTGAAGCACCTTCCAGCAAAAACTTTCTGAATCAATACATGAAAGACAGCAGTAAGGGGCTCTCCGTACAAGACAGAAGGTCCTAGAAAATGCACTCAAAAAAGAATCAGCAGGGCAAGGGAAAGCCAGGCACTGCCCAGGAAGCAGTGCTGGTGAGTCGCCCAATGGCTACCTCCATGCCTGAGCATCTACAGGGGCCTGCCTCCTCTTCACTCACAGGCTCCTTGGCTCTCCAGCCTCTCTGCCCAGGATTTGCCTTCAACACTTGGGCACAACCCACATGGGCTGAGGATCATGTTTGTCTCTGTTATCCCACTTCTCAGCAGGGATTAAACACAGGTTGGCTCCCTAGAGCAAAATCACCCAAAGTTTGATTTGCCAGTAATCTCAATCTCTGCTCCACTGCAAGGCCCCAACCAGGGCAATGCTTAGCCAGAGTTGGAGAACTGAGTTTACCGTAGGGAGTGGGGAGCCTGTTAGCATCTGACAAGGTACAGAGGGCCTACCAGCCAGCTTCCTCCCAGAACACATCACTGGTAGGTGATGGAGGCACATTCTTTGTTCTCCAGGGAAACCTACCTGCCAGATCTCAAACCCTGACCCTGTCCCACCCAAGCCAACAGGAGCCAGGATAGGTAGATTCCCACAAAACCAGAAGCCACATTTTATCTCTGTGGCCACTGAACCTCTTCCACATCAAGCTGATCTCATTCCTAGGAAACAGGTTACGGAAAGCAATCAGTTAAACTTGGGGGCAGGAATCTGTATTAGTGATTTCAGCTGCTTCCCCACAGCAGGCACTATAGTCCAAAATACAATACTTAGCCTGCTTAGCAAAGCTGTACTAAGGACCAAGCCTACCTATCTTCCTAAAAAAGAGGGTGTGTGTGTGCATGTGCGTGTGTTATATACTTGAGGAATACAGAGTGGATCATTTAACCAACATATGAAGGCGAGGTCAAATCAGTTCAACCTGAGAATCCCAGGAAGACTGACAGCTGGCAGGATTCCTTTGTTTGCTTGCAAAGAGGATCCAATTCTAAACCAGTAAGTCTATTACTGTAACCAGATCCTGTTGGAGTCACCTATTTGCAAAGCAAGGGTAGCTGCAGACAGTGCCTCACAGGACTCCTGATCAGCAAAGAGGTGGCAAGCAGGCAGGTTATAGGGCTACAGGCTGTGATTATGGAGCCTCAAGATCCCAGGGCACCAGCCATGCAGGTAAGCCACAGCCAGAAACATGGCAGCTTCTCTGTCCTTTAGACAGGGACAGACAAAGCAAAGAGCCTTGGCTTGTGATGTTTAAGTTTCCTCTGATGAGTTTAATTCAGGGCAGCGTTTTAGGTTTCAGGGATACCTGCAAGTCCCTATATGGGCAAAGGTGGAGCTGGAGCAGAACCAGGGCTAAAGACAGGAGGAAGGCAAGCAAGGTCAGACAGGATATAAGCTCAAGCTCAATACAGGAAGGATGAGAACTGAGCCTAAGACAAAACAGAACCAAAGAAGGGAAGTGGGTGGTGGGTAGGCAGCGATCCAAGATCCATTATGAGCCTGAATCCTTCCTAACATCAAAGCCCCTCACTACTGGCCGCCCCGCTTCTGCTCCAGCTTACACCTGTAATCCCAGCAATTTAGGAGGCCAAGGTGGGAAGACGTCTTGAGCCCAGGCACTCAAGACCAGACTGGGCAACATAGCAAGACCCCAGCTCTACAAAAAAATTCAAAAAGTGGCCAGGTGTGGTGGCACACGCTTGTGGTCTCAACTACTTGGGAGGCTGAGGCAGGAGGATCACTTGAGCCTAGAAGGCTGCTGTAAGCCACGTTTGTGCCACTGCACTCCAGCCTGGATGACAGAGAGACCGTCTCAAAAAATAATAATAGTATTACAATAAAAAAGTGTGTAACTATTTACATAGCATTTACACTGAATCAGGATTTATAAGTAATCTAGAGATGATTTAAAGTATGCAGAGGGGCGTGGTGCACGTGCCTGCAGTCCCAGCTACTTGGGAGGCTGAGGTGGGAGGATCATCTGGGCCCAGGGAGTTCTAAGTTGCAGTGAGCTGTGATCGCACCACTACACTCCAGCCTGAGCGACAGAGTGAGACCCTGACTCAAAAAGAGTATATGGAGGGCTGATGTGGTGGCTCACACCAGTAATCCCAGCACTTTGGGAGGCCGAGGAAGGAGAATTGCTTGAGCCCAGGAGTTCGGGATCAGCCTGGACAACATGATGAGACCCTGTCTCTACAAAAATAAAATTAGCCAGGTGTGGTTCCAGCTACACGGGAGGCGGGAGAATCTGCTGAGCCCAGGAGTTCAAGGCTGCAGTGAGCCATGTTCCTGCCATTGCACTCCAGCCTGGGTCACAGAATGAGAGCCTGTCTCAAAAAACAAAACAAAACAAAACAAAACAAAAAAATATATATATATATATTTTGCAATACATATATTGCAATCCCCTGCGGATACTGAGGAATGAATGCACCTAACGCACACACTCACACACGTGAGCTACTGGAGGCAGTGACTGCGCACCGCTACTTCCCAGCCACTGTGAGAGATGTGGAAACCCTGCTCCAAGACACCCACTATTCAACTTGGGAGCCTCTCCTGCTCACCATCTAGCACCTGCTTCCAAATACGTCAAAGACAGCAGGAAGTTCTTTTCTGACAAAATTTGGTCTAATTTTTAAATGCCACCCAGCACTTTCTGACAGGCCTAGGGATACTTCCAACATCCCATGGCTTTCCTTTTTCTATTTCATCAACTTTTTAAATACACTTTGTACTTTGGGCAGCCCGGGTAAGCGCTAAGTGTAAGGAGCTGACACGGCCATCATTTAAACTAGATTAAACGACACTGGACAAACAATCGCAAGGCAGAAAGTCGGGCTGGGCGGGAACAGATGCAAACCCTCCACTCCCGGGCTCGGGGGTCCCCCCTGCTCCAGGCGGCCCCGCCCGTACAGCTGGGAAAGTGAGGTGGCACAGATGCACAGCCGCCAAGGAGAGCTTTACGGGCACAGAGGGGAAAGTGAGGACACACACACAGACAGCAGGGGCCCCATGGTCGGAAGCAGAGCTCCCCAAGCCTCCCCTCCCGCGCCGCCGCGAGCACCCGGCTTCCCAGCCCCCTTCATCTGCTCACCCGCGCCAAGCACGTCTCGGGGTCGCTCCCAAATATCGCGGTATCTCGGCGGTCCCTCCAGGGGACTCTAACTGGCACGCCTCACGAGAGCACGGGGCGGGCTGCGTGTCGCGCAGCCTTCTGGGAGTTGTAGTCCACTTCTCTGCCTCCCGGGAGTTGTAGTCCACTGGGGAACTCCTGGCGCAGACCCTGGCTCCTTCTTCTTTGTATTGCTGGAACTCCACAGGGACTGGCCTAACTGTCCGACCTCCTCACTCCTGTCAGCCCCACACACGCTGCTGCTCGTTGCTTGGGCCTTTTTTTTTTTTTTTTTTTTTTTTTGGAGTCTCTTTTTTTTTTTTAGTTTTTTTTTTTTTTTTGTGCTGTTGTCTCAGGTTTATTGATAATATTACAGTATCTCAAAAAGATTCAAACAGTTCCACGTGGCGTTTTGAAATTCGTCCCCACTGTTGGCTGAGCGATCTGCAGATTGGACAGACTGCCAAAGTCCAAAAACGTCCGCATTTCCTTAATGTCAGGATCTATTAATACGTCAATGATTGGCTGGGCGTGGTGGCTCACGCCTGTAATCCAAGCACTTTGGAGGCCAAGGCAGGCTGATCACCTGAGATCGGGAGTTCAAGACCAGCCTGACTAACATGGTGAAACCCCGTCTTAAAAAAAAAAACCAAAAAACAAAAAAAACTTCAGTGATCTCCTGATCCAGGGCTGAGACCTCAAGAACGTAATTGTCTCTCCTTTCTCTCTTCTCCTCCTGCAACTTGGAGATACCTCTCACTGGGCCCTTCAAATCAGCTTCGTCACATACACATTGTAGCCTGCTATCTTGTAGGGGAGGTGTTTTTTATTTATTTATTTTTTTCTTTTTGAGACAGGGTCTGGCTCTGTCACCCAGACTGGAATGCAGTGGTGCAAACTCCACTCACTGCAACCTCCACCTTTTGGGCTCAAGCCATCCTCCTACCTCGGCCTACCAGGTAGCTGGGACTACAGGTGTGTGCCATCATGCCAGGTTAGTGGTTTTTTGTTTGTTTGTTTATTTGAGATGAAGTCTCACTCTGTTTCCCAGGCTGGAGTGCAGTGGCTTCATCTCGGCTCACTGCAACTCCACCTCCTGGGTTCAAGCGATTCTCCTGCTTCAGTCTCCTGAGTAGCTGGGATTACAGGTGCATGTCACCATGCCCAGCTAATTTTTGTGCTTTTAGTAGAGCTGGGGTTTCACCATGTTGGTCAGGCTGGTCTCAAACTCCTGACTTCATGATCTGCCCACTCTGGCCTCCCAAAGTGCTGGGATTACAGGCGTGAGCCACTGTATTGTTTGTATTTTTTGTGGAGACAAACTTCTGGGCTCAAGCAATCCATCCGCCTTAGCCCACCAAAGTGCTGAGATTACAGGTAGGAGCCTCTGCGACTGGCCTTGGGAGCTTTTTGCTGGTAATAATGGTGGTCTCCTCGCACACATGCTTGTTCATGTGTAAGTTGCTGTCCAGGTGCATGTGGTACTTTTTTATGTATACAAGTACAGAAAAGGGCCATCTTCATGGTGTTAGTGCGAATAGGGCCCATGTTAACTGGTCCTCGGTAAAAGAGGGCTTGGGGCACTTAATAACGAATATTTACCAAACCTCTTCTGTAGGTGCACAGGATACAGAGATAACTCAGATGCGTCCCTGTTCTTGAGAGAAACAGGGACACAGAAAATGACAGGGTAAGGTCCTCCATGAGGAAGCAACACCTCCAGGCAGGAGAGCCTTCTTTTTTTTTTTTCAGATGGAGTCTTGCTCTGTGGCCCAGGCTGGAGTCTGCAATGGTGCGATCTCGGCTCACTGCAACCTCTGCCACCCACGTTCAAGTGATTCTCCTGCCTCAGCCTCCTGAGTAGCTGGGATTACAGGTGCCTGCCACCGGGCCCAGCTAATTTTTATAGTTTTTTGTAGAGACGGGGTTTCACTATCTTGGCCAGACTGGTCTTGAACTCCTGACCTCATGATCCACCCTCCTCAGCCTCCCAAAGTGCTGGGATTACAGGCGTGAGCTACCACACCTGGTCTAGGAAAGCGTTCTCGAAAGAGTGGCAGCCGGGCGCGGTGGCTCACGCCTGTAATCCCAGCACTTTGGGAGGCTGAGGCGGGTGGATCACGAGGTCAAGAGATCGAGACCATCCTGGTCAACAAGGTGAAACCCCGCCTCTACTAAAAATACAAAAAAAAAATTAGCTGGGCATGGTGGCGCATGCCTGTAGTCCCAGCTACTCGGGAGGCTGAGGCAGGAGAATTGCCTGAACCCAGGAGGCGGAGGTTGCGGTGAGCCGAGATCA